AAATGGCAAAGAACAGCCACAAACCTGTCTCTGCAACTGTTCAAGTCTAAGCTTCTCAGCATTGGCCATCTCATATTCTCCATTCTCAAGGAATCTTTGGTCTGGTCGGAGCCTGGAGTCAGTGGGTGGGAGAACTCGAAGGATAGAAGGGGTGAGCTCATTCAGAGAGATGGCAAAGGGGGTAAGGTTGTATCGGGTTTGCGTTGCGGCCTTGTCTCTCTCCCACAAAAGCATAGCCTCAGACATTGGGTCATAACCCTTGGGCTTAGTACTTGGATCCCCCAACACATAGTACATAGCCTCATCCCACTTCCCCAATAACATGGCCACCTTCTTTCCAGTCTTATTGTCTTGCACAAATCCATGCACCTGATTTCCACCCCAAAACAAATTATTGGACAAAATCCCCCATGTAATTAATGTAGCTCACTTCCCTAAGTCTTACTCTTTTTTTCTTTTCTTTTTTTTGAAACTGTTAACATTGAAGACTTAAGCTTTTCATAACACAGGCATCTGTTTCTTTATTCATTATGATGAAAGACTAGGTTTTGCTTTTTAGCTATGTCAAGATGAAGTATCATGATTAACACTAATTTGATTTAAGAATCCAAAGAAAGATTAGAACTTTACAAACTCTATATGTGTGTGCATCTGCAGTTTTGCTTTTAGTAAAAACTCCATTTTACGAAGGTAATGAAGTGGTAGATTAGCATTAAATATGTCACAGGAAAAAAAGAGCCCCGATAACTAGGTCATGAGTTGCATACCTGATGAGGATTTCGGTCAATTATTGACTGCTCTTTGAACTTGAGTTTGCAGGAATATTGGCCGCTGCCTCTAATGCGCATGGTCCCATAGTGGTCACAGTATATCTTTCCAATTATTATGTTATAGATGGAGGTGGTGACCTTGCTCCACTGGAACGTTTCGCCATCGTCAAACTGGAGGGTGAGGACACCAACAGGATCGAGCTGTATTGATCGACCCCAAAACTTGCCTTTCAAGTTTGAGTCGGCCCAAAATTTCCACCCTTTCCCATCGCAGTGGCAGGCAACAACCATGGGGTGGTGACTCACCTGCGACAACATTTATTATTTTTACTACTGCTGCTGCTGCTCCTATTGTGATGGTGGAGTAAGGATGTGTGTGCACAGAGATGTATATGACCACCATACTAGATGTCTTTAATACTATATCATGGCAGTAGTAACTGAAATAGTAGTCGTATAATTATAAGCAACATATGCAATGCAAACCTATGGCCACCTTTCTGTGCATAACAACATAAATTCGGCATCAATTGATACTCCAACTGTCCTTCCTACAGATTAAAATTATATCTGGACCATTTAGGGGTTAATACTGGGAAGAAGAGATATATTAACAATAAATAAATAAATAATGAAATAACCTTTTCAGAGAAGAAACGGACGCCTTTGTCTGGATAATCAGCCTCGTAGGTTTCCCCAAGAAGAGGGTTGAAAGGCTTGCATTGGCGACCTTCAGTGGAAGCATAGCCGGATACAGCAAAAGCTGCAATATTTAGGATCCTCATCAGGCTATTCCCCTGTATAAATCAACATAAAACCTATGGATTCAGCTACTGTAGCTGTTGAACTATATTAATTCAGTTGGAAGCTAAACAAAGCTCCAGAATGATGTAGCTTGGAAAGCAGTGAAGTATTTAAAAGTAGCAAACAGACACAATGATAAGAAGTAAGCAGAAAATATGCAGATCTGGAGATTAGAAAAGAATATAGAACCTTTTAATTATGTATAACCCATGAAATCAGAAGATAAAACTAGAAACCCTCTAATAGAACACAAATAGTACAATCCTAAATGTGATAAGTACATCATGAATATAATTACTGATATAAAAGTTCAGTAACATAACATATAAGTTCATATTTACATTAGAAAACAGACCCAAAATCCAATTAAAAAATTTTGGAGCCATGGAGATCATAAAAATTGGAAGCAAAAATTAGACTTTTAAATAGAATATCAATAGTACAATTCCATAATCTGAAAGCACATCATGATATGCCTACTGATAAATATACAAACGTGATCAGAAACATAAAATGAATAATGCATCCGACCTTCTTGCCCCATTCTGATGCACAGTCAACCAAATATGAATACTCCAAATCTTCAAAGCACTTCTGTAAGGAGGAAAGCGGCTCGTTAAAATACACAGGGAGACAGACTCCAGATAGGTCTTTACCAATATTTTCTTTGATAATGGACCACAGGCCAACTGGCTTTTCTTTCTCCTTTGGCTCTGGCAACTTATCCCTCCTTTTGACGTAGGGATACTCAATGGTTCTTATTGTTGTATCGGTTTCATGACATTCAGAAACGCACAAATCAGTATCTTCCTTGCACCCATGGCAAGCATTTCCCAGATAATCCCTACTGCGGGAGGATGCGCTTCTTAAAAATTCAGAGGATAGAAAATCGCTTGTATCAAAAAATATGCCATCGTCGTCATCTGTTTCTCCATCTCCTCCATCGCGACTTTCATTATCAGCATCAGAATCTGTTGCACTACCCTCTGAAAAATTGTTGTTCAGTAAATTACAACAAAATGAAGAAAAGACAGAAGAACAAGAAAACATAATATGCATAACGTATCGACAACTTTTCTTAAAGCATATCCAATTGATATTTATAATATAAAATAAAAAGCTAGTACAACATGAAATACCTTTCAGACAATTTTATACACAAAGCAAAAGAGATCCGCAGACCAAACAACACAATTTCGCTTACTTGTGAATAGTCAAATGAGAGAACTATCGTATAAAGCAACTGCAATCAAACTATCAAGATGATTTCAGCCTACACTGAAAAAACTATTCCATAGAGGAAAAAAAAATGCCTCTATGTGTCACACTCTTTTCTTTTCAAGAAACCCTAACTTTGCTCCATATGATTATGCTGGGAAATTAGTAACTGGAAGACCTCCTAACAGATATTATATATCGAAAAGCTAGAACCTCTGAGCCTCGTATACTTGTAATAAGAATTCCATAACCGATGTAGAGGAAAAACTAGACTGAAAGAAATATGATTATGCCAACAAAAGTGCTGATTATCCTTGTAACAAAGAAGAAAAAAGATCCGGGGAAAGCGTTCGAGCGAATGGAATCTACTGATGTTATACCGATATCAATCAGACTTACCGCTGAATCTCCCATTCTCAGCTCCAACGAATGAACGGCGTTCTTTCGTTTCATCCACCACAGTAGCTTCCAACTCTACTTTCTCAGACTGCAAGACAAGAATCAAAGAGAAGAAAAACTTCTTTTAAGTCAAAGCTAAGCCTCGATCGGTTACAAATAACAGGAGAATGAGTAAGAATTGGCTATGGCAAAATATATTATTTAACTGATGCTGATGCAAGTAGAGATTAACCCAGTGCATTATGCAGAATTGAACATTATGATGCAGGAATTTTAGGCAATCACAAAGCAGAAACCTAATCGGATAGAAATTTAAGTATGACAATAATTGAGATACTTGGAATCGAAACAATGCAGTAACAGCTGTGCAGAATAAAGAGTCAGGAGTATCAAATTTGTTAAATTAATTTATTTAATCCGACAGAAATTAATTTATTTAATTCGACAGTTTTAAAACAATTTTTTATCCACCACTTCCTGGTAGTCCATACGAATGTTACGATCATTGAGGCCCACCATTTGAATCTGATGGTTATTTTCCGTGTAATGGTCCCTTTAGTAGGCCATCCCACTTTATATTATAATGTTTTATCTATTGATACCCTTTTCCCTCTCCACTGCGGCTTCCCTCTCTCCCTTCATGACATGTTTGGTGGGCCCTCTTTCTCACCTACGTCTTACCTGTAAGACTGAAAAGCCAACCGTAATATATTTAAAAGGAAACGTAACGGGGTAATAGAAAAGGGCGTTAATGTAAAAAAAGAGAGTAGGTACTGGAAGTAGGGAAGAACGGAACACAACGTCTTTCGTATCTCCTTTTCCTTATATATTGAGGTCCGTTTACCGCGATCAATTTGACAGCAACGTTGTGATTTGAAACGAAGCTTTTGGACTCGAAGGGAGTTTTTTAATCTGCAGGAAGTGTTCTCGCTAGTACGTTTTTCATCTCGGTTTCCAGAGTCAAGGGTGTTAAATACACTTTGAAAAAAACAAACTTCATTCTTGTGCCTTCAGATCCAGGACTACTTTTATCATCTTATAACCTCCGAGGCTTAATCTAATTTCTAGGGAAATTTAACTTTTGAGTATTTTATTTCTGATCCTCAACTCTTGAACTAGATTAATCCTTATAGGGTTAACTGGCAGTTTTCACATATTTGTACAAAAACCGACTCTGGATGAGAAGGTTTTACCGAAAATTTGAGACATGGGAGACCGCTGAACTAATAAATTACTCATAACAATAACTCAAAAATAGTGGTATTTATGCACTACTACCACAATACTTACCGAGAAAATTTGCAGCTGAAACATAACAAACAAATCCTCTGAGTCCAGGGATTCCACCCGTAACACAGATAATAGGCTTATACTAAAGATCTATTCATATATCATCGTCCATCATCTAACACACAAAGGTAAGGATTCAGGCTGAAACGCACTAACTTTTCAAAAGAGAGAGAAAGACCTGAAATATAATGAAGCTAAAATAGTTTTTTTGAATGAATAAAAGAATGGAATCACAGAGAGAGAAGAAGCTACAATAGTTGAAATAGTGAAAAGCTTTTAAACCTCAATTTTAAAGCATCAGCTAAAACAGTCATTCATATTTTAAAAGATTAGTGGAGTGATATATGTTACACTCCGAACTTGAGCTCTTCAATAGACAAATAGCGCTTGCAGATTAAAAATAGGAATTTCCAAATGGTTTAGCTACTCATTTTTGGAAAAGGAAACAACAACAGCACATATTCAAGGAAGAAAAACGCAACGAAGGAGTCACATTGACAAGCAATTTTGAACCAGAAAACACTATGGATAAGAAAGCAACAGAGTTCAGAACTGTTTTCAAATTGATGAAAAAAAACAACGATAGAGACAAGAAGAGAACAGTATTGTATGACCTCCAATTGCCTTAGTGTATCCACCAAGACCAGGTGTTTCTGCTGAAGAGATTTCAACCGATTTTGGAGCTCAGAGTGTTCTGTCAACATGATAGTTTCACAATCTTTAACAGAAGCTTCATTCAGTCCTTCCTGCAGTAAACGAGATCTTAATTTTTCAGTTGAAACACTGATTTCTTCAGAAGGCAAGAAATCGCTGCTTGTTAAAACTCGAGGGAAAAGATCCTTAGCAGTCTTTAGAGCATCAATCCATGCGCCCCTGTCTTCTCTAGATTCACAACGCAAGTGAAGTGTCTTTGTACCAGTAAATATGGATAGGCGTTTGTCATCCGATTTACTTTCGCGAATGGAGGAAACCTGAAAAAAAATGCCAAATCTTATTTCTAGGGCAGGAGACCCTTGAGAGATTAAAACTTGAATCATGATATTATTTTTCCTCTTGAGAGATAACTGAATCATTATCATAACTACACCATGTATGGAAAAGACTAAGGAAAAAAAAAACACATATAGCATATATTATGCTAATAACAACCACTTACCCTGAAAAGAATCACTTCATCAGGAAAAAAAATCACATGTAATTGTTTAGGAGCCACTGGAAGGAAAAAGTGTTCCATTGCTCTAAGGCAAGACAAATGCATATTTGCTTTTATCATGATTTTCCTTTTTTTGTATGAATTTTCTTTTTGTGTGTTTAATGTATTTTTCTTTTCTTTTTTTTCTTTTTTTTTCATCTTGTATAAAATACATTGCCACATTAGGAGACTTGTAGGAAACCAAGATCTTTCTTGCTAAATTCAGAATATGATAAACTAAACTCAAATCAAGATCACTATAAGTCACAACATTGTAAATCGACAGGTATACCCCACCACATTATCAACGTAAACAGTAACAATGCAGAGAAGAACACATCATGTAAATTACACAACAATCCATGACAAATACAGTTCACCACCAAACCCCTCACATCTCATCAAGTAAGAGCATCCATAGATAACAATGACAATTTTCTTTCTTCTTTATACTAAAACAGTTTGCTTGCTATGTACTCATGCCTGCCAAGAGTAACCAGCACATCGAACAAATCCAGGACTTAAGCTTCATGCTTCAGAAATAAATATGCAAAAAATAAAAATATATTAACCAAAGCTAGCACAATCAACCTTGATGCGCCTGGAGTTTCTGGACCTATCATTGAAGTCTGGATTCAAATGGCTCTTTGAGATAAAACACAAGACGAAAGAGATTTTTTAGAACAAAAAAATCAGCCAAGTTTTTGGCTGACTTTGAAGAATTGCAATTTTTTAGAACAAAAATATCAGTGGTCAATGTTTGTTAATATTTGATCCCAAAGCATATTTTTGTGTCCATGATCCAACCATGGGATTGATTTCCAAAATAAATAAATAAATAAACAAATAAATAGCATTTTAAAAATTTCATGTTTTTTATGATTTTCTGTTTTTCTATTTTCTGAAATTGCCTTTTCTCGGATTTTCTGATTTTTCTCAAGCCAATAACGTCAATTTTATTGGTATTCCATTTTTTATATATTTTTTGGTTTTGTATGATTCATTTGGATTTTTGTGAGTTTTCTGAAGTTTTGGATATTTTTACAAATATTTTCAGCTTTTTTATGTCTTAGACATGACTTGAATGAGTCCGAGTCCACTCCCCCCAAGTAGCTCAGCCCAGGCTGGCAGTGAGTACCATGCTTGAGCCGCGTTTAAGAACATTGATCTCATCAGATGCAAAGGACACGGCCTATACCCTACTGCAGCACTTGACTTGCACACATGTCAAGCATCCAATCTAAATTAGAAACACACGAGTGACGGATATTAAAGCTTTATAGGAAAATGGTACACAATATTTGGTTGCCTTCCAAGTGGGAAAGATTGAGATCAAAGTTCGTTTACACGAACCGAACTCGGGACCCGGTTGAGAAAGGCAATTTGAGAATGGGGATATTTTTTAATTAACCCAAGGGTACTTTAGAAATAACCCGAAAAGAAGGAAAATGTAAAATAAGTATTCATGGTCCCAACACTCTCCAATCTTTGCCAAAATGATAGAAAACATTAGAAAACACATTACAAATAAGTTACTTATTTTTTTGGATTTAAAAAAAAATTGAATTTTTCTTCAACATCTTGGAACTTAACCAGGAAAACAGGCTAAAACAGGACAGACCAGAGGCCGGTTCCAGTTCAACCCAGCCAGTTTACACTGACTGAGATTAAATGCAGGTGAGTGTGAAAGGTGAAAAAACCATCAAATGGCTCAGAACTAAAGATGACACAAGACATACTTGGTGGCAAAGGAATGCACTACGGAGCATCAAGGAGATATTTGAACAGGTAGCCAAAACTGACTACCAAGAGACTCCTTTTCCCCATCGTTAGTATAAGGTGAGGACCCATTCAGAGAACCAACAAGAATGCTTTCCTTAATGGCATTCCACAATGAGCAGTATATAGCACTTACCCAAAAAAAAGGAGCAGTATATAGCACTTTACAAAAAAAAGGAGTATATAGCTCCACCAGGTTATGCTGATGATTCCACCCACATCTATCCGCTAAACAAGGGGACTCACAATTTCAAAACAACAACCAGGAGCGTTGTCTGCAACATTTCAAGAGATTCTTCTTTTTTGTGAAACATGATGAAGGCAGAACTTTTATTCTGATGGACTATGTTGATAACTTGGCTATTACTAATGATGATCTGGGCACCATAAATGAAGTGGAGACAATAAGATTAATTCAGATGAATCAGATTCGCTCTTATTGTACTTGCTTCTAAAGATTACCTAGAGTCCTTGATATATTGCTGTTATGCACTAAAAGTATGCAGAAGATCCCATTTCTTGAACTGATTTCACAAATGGGAATGTGGTTGATGGTCTTGCTCAATAATTCTTAGCTTGGTGTGGTGATCTTGAATATCCTACTACATAGAAAGCACCAACAATTGGTTGGATATCCATAACCAAGCCATCATCGGACCATACATTTAGAACATTACACAGTCAGTAGGTCAGCATGTTCAGTGAATCAAGAGGGCTGTTGCATATGGCTGGAACATGTCGGATCGTATAAGTATGTTTGTTCTACTCTTAACAGAGTTTTATTCTTATCTGCTAATTAAGATTTACAATGTTAGGTACTTGCTGACTTGGATAGCGAAGGTTGTCCAGACCAAGGCTCAAGAGAAATGGCCATTATGTAAAAAATACAGACACTATTACTGCCAACAAGCCCATCCTGTTATATTACAGTAGAGGTCTCAAGAAAGGCAATAAAGAAGGTTTGTATTACAGGCAATGGCATTTGAAAACTTGGTCAAGTCCACTCGAACTCATCCGAGTTACTCGTGGCCCCTTGACGAGCCAAGCCAAGTACTCAAGGTAAAATTCAGTTAAAATAAAATAATTGTATATATATTTTAAGGAAAATATCTCTATACCCCCTATTTTTAGGTTTCATTCTTTGATAAACCCAAAGTTTCAAAAAATACCTTCTAACCCACTTTAAATCTATTTTTTATCTTAAACAAAAATAAAAAAGACGTACTCTTTCTAAACCCAATCCTTTCTCTCTCTTTACTTATATACTCCAAATTTCTCTTTCTCTCTCTTCTTACATTTCTCACTTTCTCTCTCATTCCGTGTTTCTCTAAACACCTCTCTCTCTCCTCCCAATAACCTCTCACCTCAATGAAGCCGTTCTCTCTCTAAAAGTTTGGGGAGATCGCTTGTAAAAAATGCATGTCTTTTTAAATTTGTTTGGCCTAAAAACATAAGTTTAAATTAACTCAAGGGGTTAGGAGAAATAAAATCTACAATTTTTATGCCCGAAGATATCTTTTAAAACCTTGAGTCTATTGTGAAATGGAACTTAAAAATAAGGGGTATGAGGATATTTTTCCTATATTTTATATATCATTTTGATTTTTTGATAATGATTTGGGCTTTTTTTCTTGTCATATCCGTTATTCTTATACTTTTCCTCCTCCTGAGGATTTTTCTGAATTTTTTCCAGCTATAAATCCTTTTCTTTTTTTTCTAAATACTCTCTTTTCATTGTTTTTTTCCATCGTATTAGGACTTTTAAAGCTGTTTATTATCTAGTTTGCTTTTTTATTTTCTTTATTTTTAACAAATTTTTTGGTTTTTTTAATTTTTTATCTCTTTTCTGGCCCCCATAAACAAAGGCAAGTCAACTCAGACTTGCCTGACTAACTCGGCTAGAGCCCTACCCAAGCTAAGTTTTCGAACCTTGAAAGGCAAAGAACAAGGGTTATTTTGCATAAAACATTCAGTAAAAATGACACGGTCATTGGTATCAGGTTATTGATAACATAATATTTGAAAAAATAAATATTGGACATAATGGTCAGAAATAAGAGAGATTTGAAAACAGAAATCTGCAAGAAATACATTTTTCAAATATAGTCCCATGGTTTTATAATTCTCGCATATTTTTGACATTTTTTTTTTTTTGTCGTTTTGTATCCCTTGCCCTCTTTTTCTGAAGAAGGCCTTTTTTCCGCTCCAACAGCCAATTATCATTATAAAAGAGAAAGAAACCAAGCCTGATCTGTTATGTTATACCTGTTTTTTGAACCTTGGTCCAGAGGACTCCACACAGAATGATTCAAGGTTGCCTAATAGACCGTATATGGCCTAAAAGATCAAACCAAAACTAATTCTTTTACCAGCTTAATGGCAGTGTTTCTTGGCACAACACAAATCATTTTACTCAATCTTGCACTAGTAGTGAAAAGGCCGCTTATTAATTTAAGAGATATCTTGTGTTGGCCAATTCTATAAGTCGAATCAACTCAGATGAATGCCAAGATGACTAATCAAGTTTCTGTAACTATTGGTAATGTTGTTTATCAGTTATAGATGGTCTCCAAATTTCGATTCTAAATAATAGATAAATTTATAAAAAGAGCATTGTGATTGCTTCATTTCATTGTTTTCAAAATTAATGTGGATCCAAGTGTTCTTCTCCAGGCCCCTGGTTCACAAAACGTTGAACAATGTAGTAACTGAAACATGTGTCCAAACAATTAAATTATCAGTTCACAAGCTCCAACATTTGTTTCTATTTCCATCAAACAATCAACTCCAAATACCTCAAACTTTAGACTTTCTTTTGGCTACAACTAAATCACCCAAAAACAAACAGCCTACCAATTCTTGTAAAATAAAGTAAATATCAAACAACATTACCTTCAAATGAACCTCTCCAAAGGGCTTGCGTTGCTTCACTGGAACACGAACATTTCCTTGATTTGCCTTTCGCATATGCTTCAATGAATACTCTCCAATCACTCGGAGACCCTTCTCACTCTCTGAGTTAACGTATATTTTATCAGGCCCATGGATCTTGTAATAAGATAGGACCCCATCTCTAAGAACAAACCATCGAGACTTCCATCCCTTTCCATAGTTAACCCACTTGTAAACAATTCCAGCTACATTTCCATTAACACTGACACAGGATCCCTTTGAATCTCTCACGTCAACAGTTTCCAGTGAAGAATTCGACTGAACAAGCAAGGGGGACTTGACAAAATCCAAATTTGTGGTCGAGATGCCATTTTCGAAATCAGCTGAAATAGAGTGTGGCTTATTTAAACCTAGTCCTAGATTTCGACAATACCTAGTTGATTCATCGGACCCTACAGGAGAAGGCGCTTTTGATGAAGCTTTAACTGAAACTATCGGTGAATCACTTCGATCTCGGTCCAGTGAAACCGGAGCTATACAGCACAAAGGATTCATGGCCAGAACACTGAAACTCACCAAAAGCAAGCCTTAACAACCCCTAAAAGGCCTCCTCTCCTCCTCCTCCAAGCATAAGCATAATATATACACAAATTCTCAGTCTAAGCGAGATCTCAAACCAGAGAGGCCATGCAAGCCCTCCATATGTTCCAACCAATGGCGGAACCAGATGCTTTTAGGGTTTCTGAGAATAGAACCCCTAGATCCGTAGAGGTCAAGGTCCAGATCGCCATGATTTGCCCTAAAACGAACTGTGTTATGGGCGAAGTATCCGATAACCTCTGAAAATGACATGAGCTCTGAGCTGATAAAATCCAATTAAGGCGTTGCAGAGCTTTTGGAGCAATGCATAATGGCGATAGTAGACCGCAGTTAGAGTGAGAGAGAGAAGAGTTCTAGAGAGAGAAAGTAAGCAGTTATTGCTCACTGGTTGGAGGGGCTCGAGGAGAGAGAGCATAAAGATGGCTAAGACAGATCCATTAAATGGGGTGAGTGCAGGCTTTCAGTGAGTGAGGGAGAGGAGTGACAAACAAAGCACATGCTTTGGCATGAGTGGAATAAATTACTAAACTACCCCTATCAGTTAATGCGAGACTACCCCTAATAATAACGGGAAATCATTCAAAATTATAAAAATTTGGACTGTTGTGACTTATGAGCGAATCTTTTATTGGACAAATGACCAGAATACCCCTTACAGTAAGATTGCACTCGGCGTGGAAAGTCTCGTACCGAGTGTCACAAGCTCCGTATTCGAATCGAATTGTCCGAGTCCGGCGGGTTTTTTTTTTTTTTTTTTTTTAATGCCAAAAAAATAAAGAAAAAAGGTCATGTCGGCCCAACTGCTGTCCAACTGCCCAAATTGAACCTGGGCCGATTTGATAATCTCGAATATCCGATAATGTTTGAAATTAAATTTTTTTTAACAAATCGGATTGATCTGAAATTTGAAGCGTGTGTACATAAAAAAATAAGTGAAACTTCAAAAAATATAAAAAAAATATTTTACATGAAAATAAATGATCAAAATACCTTTATAAAGTTTCGAAGGTATTTTGGTCCTTTTTTTTTGGATTATTTTTTTTATATTTTTATTAAGTGCGCCTTGATGAGAATAATATATACCTAAAATTTCAAGTGATTTGGATTCATAAAAAAATAAATAAAATTCAAACACAAAAAGATATTGTGACCATCAAATTGGTCCAGATTCAATCTAGGTCATTGACGTTTACAGTAGCGGTCAGCTAGTGGGCTTACAAAATCTACTCCTAAAAAATAACTAACTTTTAAGTTGTTTATTTTTCTCTTTTTGTTACATTACTGATTTCTCCAGTAATAAACCCAATAATTGATCCATTTTAGATCTAAAACAAGGTTAGGTATATAAAATGTTTATTGGGGAGGTTTTTGCGTCAAAATCTTTTGTCTTCTAAACATTAAATGCCCAATATGCTACTATTTGATTTTCTCCACGGGTTTTCAAAGAAACGGTATGAAATTTATTTCAAATTGTAGGTATATACATCTAACAAAGCACTATTTATTGGACTAAATTAAGCAAAGGAAAAGTTTATATAAGGTGTCAAGCTTATACGATATAAGTAAGACGCTTCTCAAAAACCCATCAGAATATATTGTTCTGACATAACAAAACCCTTCAATTGATCATCTTGACCTAGTGATGCATGAATATGAAAAAAAATTGATTTCAAGTCTTAAAAACAGTATATTTTGTAGTGCATTATCTGTACTGTCGATTTTTAAGATTTCCATATGTTTATAGATTTTCTCGATCTGCACCATTTTTAGAGCTTTAAATTTCAACATTAGAAACGAGAACAAATATTTAAGCGCTCACAAAATTTTCTTGGACCAAAACTACATCTTTTAGCATAATTTAGAGGCACACTTTACTTAGATTGATTAAGGTTAATAACTTATGCAAACTACACTTATAGAAAAACTAAAGTAACTGGATTACATCGAGCCTAACCTCTTCTAGGTAAAGATCCCCATATAAATTGTAGCTTCAAACTCAAAAAAATTGTCAAATATGAATCCTAAACTTGAATGATGAAAGAGGCTGAAACTTTTTTTAGTATAGATTTTTTAATTGTCAAAAATATAAATAGATTTCTTAATTGATGAGGTTTCTATAAGGCCTAGGCTTTATGAAAACATAATAAAGCCTCGAATCATCGTTCGGAAAACACTTTTGGCAATGAAAATCTCTATGATGGCTCTAAAATCAAATTCCAATATCGGCAATGAAATTTGAAACTCAAAAAATGATAACGGTATTGCATATCTATGAACACTTATTTTAAGTGTGAAATATACGGTCTAGATAATTTGTTATAACATACTCTATTTTTAGAGTTTGAAATCTCAAATTTTTTACCCAACCATAATGTTCAAGCCAAGATGATCGATATAAAGATTTTCCAATGCTTGTTTTACAATTTCCGATGAATTATAAGGCGAGGATTTACTTGTTTTGATTGCAGCCCTATCAAGCCATTGTCCTCTATTTAATACATAATTCTCACCTAAACATGATCTAAGCCATCTAGCTCTAAATCACAACCATAAACAAAGAGATAAAAAGATTCATCATTCATGGAGGCAAAAAGATGAAACTACCCCCAATTTTGCTACATAAACTCTTAAGACTGTTTTCAAGTCTTTAGTGGCATTTTCAAAATTGGGCGAGGAATAAGATGTCATTGGATACTAAGTGAGCTTTACAAAGACTATCATTAACAAAACGAAAAGTTATGCTTTGCATGATACACCTTGCTCACAAATTACCTATACATCAGAATGGGTTGAATTGGACTGGATCAACATGATGTCCGAGTCGACTCGGACCTAGCCAGTATTCAGGTTTTGCCACCCAAGCTGAATTTGGATGACAACTGTGAAGAAATCGAAAATGATTGTTGAAAAATTGTGGGAAAACCGGATTTCGTTGCGGATGATTTAAATAAATAAAAAGTAGGATGGGAGGACCTTGTAGCTTTATTTTCTCCTTTATTATATTATTTTGTTCTATAAATATAGTAATGGAGAGTATTTTTATATAAATACCGCTTTTGCTTTGTTTTATTTTTCAATGTGGGACTAAAAATCTATAACTATTTTTCTTTCTTAAGAATGTAAAAAAAAAAAAGGTTATTAAAAAGGTTATTATCAATTACCTTGCATTTTTTCAAACCATAACATCAGTTGTCATCATAATTCAACCGACGCGTGCAAAAATTTTTATCAGCCACTTGGAGTAGAGCAGGCAATATATTGAAGCATTGGATGGCTAGCATTCAAAGACAATATTGAGTATATATCGGTTTTTTTTTTTTGATGTTATTTTTTCTGTTTTTTCTAAAGAACTAAAATTAAACGCACATTTGTACCCCCAAAATTTCAGGTCTATGGAGCTTGAAAAATAAAAATAAAAAAGAAACACACCAATCTGGCTATCCAAATTGACAAGATCCAATCCAGTATTTTAAAACACGGATTGTCGTGGTGAATTAGTCCTCCACTGGATTGGCGATCAGCCAAATCTATTGACCTGGATAGTTCAAATAGGTGATCGAGCCCTTTTTTAAAAAAAAAAAAAAATGAAGAAGATAAAAAAAATGTTGCATGGACTGTTTCCCCATCTTACACTATGTTCGATGATTTAAATATCAAACAAACATAATATACACGAAGAATAACAAATTGGAGTAGGCAGGACCAATTCCCAGGGGATTAGGGCTTATGAATCAGTAAACCCGATACTGGATCGATGTTTTCTTAATCCTTGATCCATTATGAGCCATATGACCCATAGTATTTAGTAGGCAAGGCAACCCACAATCTATTTTTTTCTACAATAGTTATTTTCTCTATACTAGTTATAAACAAAGGAAATACCTAGAAATAGCATAGTTCTAATGGTGAATCCCCTTCACTCTCCCATATTAGCCATCTATCAATGATCAAGGGAGATGACTCAACCGATTATAGTAGTTTTATAGTCTATCAAATTTTTTTCCATGTGTGCGATGCTAACTATTTTTGTATGATCCCAATGTTTGAAAAATCATTGAACGAATCGGGAATTGCTCAACCCGAACTAGGAAATGGGTCCGACCAAACTAGTTCCAAGAAGGAATGGGGAATGCTTCAGCTAACTTTCAGCCTTCCTCTCAATTTCTTTTTAGTTTTTTAGCTTTCCTGTCATTTTTAAGATATTATAGCAAATCCCGCCCATAAACCGTTTTTTCTTCTCTTTATTTTCTAAATATTTTTGTTGATTGCCGTTTCGGATTGTTATGTTTATAGTTTTCACTGAGATCCTATTCTCGAAAATGCAGCATCGCCTCCCTTTGTATGGAGTCAATGTGAAAAATCTCCATAATACTCGTAATACTAGTCGAATTCACGTAAGAATTAGAGATGTTATACCTAATAACAAAAACAATCCTAGTATCAATTAAATTCCCGCATGAATTAAAACAAGGTTTGGAGGGTTATATGTCAATAAAAACGCTTCTAGTACCAATTAAATTCTCGTAGGATTTAAAACAGGTTTTGGAGGTTAAACATAGTGAATAGTGACAAATGATGTATGGGATTTGAAAGGTACGAGAAGAGCTCACCCTCTACTCAGTACAATTCTGAAATGCAATACTGCCTTTGGTGAACACACCACCATGTCATAGAGCTGTTCTTGATAATCTGAGTTGAGAAGCTCACTTAAAATCACAACAAAACATACCCATCCGGTGGATTGAGAGAGATGCCAAATTACGAAGCCCTTTTGTATAAGTTCAATATTATTTTAAAGATGAGAGGGTGAAACACAAGAACTTGGATAGAGAGAGGTGCCAAGATGAGAGGGTGAAACATAAGAAAGTGGATAGCGAGAGGTGCCAAATTACATGGGACTGATGGAAGAGGATGATGATGTTAAGCATAAGCTTACAAATGATGCCAGCATGAGGCTACAGTGAAAAACAAAAGAGGTTATAAGATGGTGGCCCAATTGTACCACCAAAACAAAGTGTACCCATCACGAAAAGGTAACAAGAAGATTCTTTTGAAACTCATACTTCTAAGGGAAATTCTCGTACGGATCCCTAATTTTTTACAGTATTTTAAAGTAAATTTTTTTCCCCTTTTTTTTAAACGGTATAAAAAACTCTAAGTACTTTACTATACTCCCTCATTTTTTTTTTCCCACTTTTATTTTGGTCACAAAAACTAGTTCCAACAAATTGTTTTATTCCATCTCAGTTCAATTTTTTTTTAAAAAAAGACTTTTAGATATGGAAAAAAACATTTATTGGGGCTAATTTTTTTGGCCAAATGTGAATAAATGTGGGTGATGAGAGATGAAGAAGTACGGCAAAATACTGGAGGGATTTTTTACGTCGCTTGAAAGAAAAATAGAAAAATGATTTACTGTAAAATAATATAGGGAATTAGAGATCTATACAATATTTTCCCT